ATTCAATTATGCGTTTGGTGCGATACTTTAGTTTATAAGCTACCGAACGAAGTCAATGAGAACGCGTGGTATACAGGTTTGAACCCATTATTCCCAAAAACAAAAGAAGCGCTCCGACCGAATCAATTTTTATCTTCATCCGATAGGCCGAAGTGAATTGACTGGCGTTTCAATTGCGTTTCAATGCGTTAGGCCGAGTTTAAAATCCGTAGGCCGAGTTTGGCGTCAAGAAGCAGTGTTGGACTTTTGACAATATCTCAACGATTGGTTTCTCGTTTTCAAACCTTACGGTACGTACGGAAAGGTTAATAAATTTGGAAGCCATCAGTAATAATAACATTCCGTTTGGTGCTAAACTTAAGTAGATTAAGAAAGACTAAGTACGGGTTATGCTTAATAGGCCGGAAATGGGGTAGTTAACCCATCCAAAAGCGGTCCAGCAACCGCAACAGCAGTAAAGCAACAACAACTCTACCAAAAAAACAGCAGCAGCAACTCAACAGCAATCCAATGGCAGATCACTTCGTGCCAACTGAGTTCACTGACCCTTCCGAATGGTTCACTGACCCTTCTGTATGGTTCACTAAACCGATCGCTGGTCGATACGGACCACAAAAAACTGCACCTCAATGCAACAAAAAGGCTGCAACCGCTGACTAAAAAAAATAATCACACCGCTGTAACCAAAACTTCAGGCAGTACTTGGTGAGCACGACGATGAAATTCTGCGATGACTGGCTTTCACACACACAGCGCTACGAAAATAAAAGAAAAAGCATTGAGCGCCGGTCGTCGTTCACGGTCAAAAAGGTCAAAAAGAAAATGGCGTTCACACAACTGAAAATACCGAGGGGGGCGACACATCTAAATCTCAAGTCTAGATGCTCAACAAATCTCACACTAGCGAATCAATCTTCGAAAAATCTTCTTTCATTTCTTGCATCTACTTGCATCGCGCATCATCTTTTTGCAGGAAATCTTCAGAATCGTCGTCAATCTTCTTTCTATGTACTCAGCGTGCGCGCAGCTAGCCACAGCAAAACACAATCTTTCCTGCATCGTAGATAGAGTCGTCCCCCTCGGAAAATACTGCTAATCACTTTTCTCTATAATTTCAAAAATACAAAATCTATACACTGCTGTGAGGATTCGTAAAATATCAACCTTTGCTAACTGGTTTAATTAAATATGCGCCTTTTTTACGAAACGCCTTTAAACAAAAATCACTGCATGATACTCAGCATATGATGAAAATGGCCCTGCTTTAGCAGCTGAACAGCAAAATTGCACGTAAAATCAGCGTTACCGCCAATTTTCTTCACAGTACAAAACTTATTCACTTACGTCGAGGTTTCACCACTATAATTCACTCACACGCGGTGTTAAACTTCTAAAAGTATTCAAACTTTTTCCTACGTCGCCACTTTTATACATGAGACTTTGGTATGTATGGTTTCGGGGTAGATATCCGGGAGTTAATTAAAAACACTTGTGCTCTGGTTTATCACCAAATGATTTCTGATCTGTTTATTCCAATTCGTAAACTTTACACTTCTATATTCTCTTTTTCATACCCTCTATCTTTATCTGACAGAACTCTCTCGTTCTCACATTTTACCGTCTTACCGAATAACATCGAAAACGGATACTTCATATTTTACCTACAGCTTGTATACAACAATTATAACATCTAATGATTTCTTAATTCTGAAAAAAAATTATAGCAGGTGAGTTGAAGTAACCTTGACCTCAAACCCGCCACGAGCAATTGGTACCCAATACTAACCTAGAACTACTGCTGTTTAAAGTGTAAATCCAAACATTACTGCGGAGCAGTGTCGCACACGACTGAGCCTAGTAAATAAACGAACTATTAAAAAAAAGGTGCGGATCATTGCCACGAGGACATCAGGTGCATGTTCTGATGTGGCTTATAGGTCCTGGGTACTCAATATGACCATCAGTTTTATCATGTTTTTAACCTCAAAATTTCAAAATTCAGAAGCTCTGCCTTCGACATATCGAGTTGTAGAATCAAAATGACACTACATAGAACATCGACCAAAGGAGGTATCCACTTGTGACGTATGGAGCGTGCGATACATGAAAAAATTAAGAGACCGCTGAATCCATCGAGTTATAGACAGGCATGGAAAATCATTTACATTTATTTCATGCATTCATTTACATTCATTTGTCTCTAACTTTTTTCATCAACAGCATCCCGCAAAATGATGTAGCGAACTTTTGTAGGTTTTGTTATTAGCTACAACTTTTGCCTGTAACTCAAATCTGTATCTCTTATGCATCACGAATGAGAGCGGGCAGAACTTATTACTGTTTTTCAGTGAATGTAAAATACATTCACTGAAAAACAGTAGTGGCTTCTATTCGCTCTGGTTCGTCATGCATAAGAGATACGGATTTGAGTTGTTAGTAAAAGTTGCACATAATAACAAAACTTACAAAAGTTCGATACATCATTTTGCGGAATTTTGTTAATGAGAAAAGTTAGGGGCAAATGAATGTAAATGAATGCATGAAATGAATGCAAACTATAACTTATAGAATATCGAGTTGTGGAGAGTTGGCTGACATTGCTGACATACATATTGTGTGTGGCAGGATAATTTCTCAAAATGGGATTATACCATCTGTTTTCTGTTTATGGTCGTACGACTGCGCCCATTGATTTAACACACGGCGGCTCTTTATCCAGGATTCGCTCCGCAAGCCGCTGCCATAAAATACTATCAAAGTTACACACCTGTGTATAATTCTTATGGGCGGGGCTGCATCGCGCTTATGAGCGGCGCGCTTGGACCGTCACCAAACGAGAGTTTAACATAAGCGCGACAATACTAAGAATATGTTATTGCGTGTCTTTTAATAAATTAGAGTCTGGCGGCCGCAATAACACGCAGGTGAAGATAGCCGTGAGATAGTCGCTACGTCCAATGCATGGAAATATTTCCCGCGCGAAATAAACAAGCATATTTCAAACTGAACATTGCATTAGGTCCTAAGTAACATTAATCGATTCTCTTAGATTCTCCAAAGCTTCTTTCATCGATCTGTGTAATTTAAATACCTGGGAATGTCATTTCATGGCCGTGGGGATACAAACAGAAATTCAACGTGCTTTATGAAAAATCGGAAAAGCTTTGTAGAATTGGGAACCTTGTACAAGTTTTAATTTTAAAATACTTCATAAAAGTTCTTTTAGCTTCAGGGCACTTCGTTAAAATTAAATTGACTTAAAATAGATTAGAAAATTCCGTGTCCTGTGCACCGAAGAATAGAAAGACTTCGATGATCAATAGTGTATAGGCATTTCAGAGAAAAAATAGCATTACTTTTAAGGCTGCGGTTGCCAAATAATCTGACGCAGGATGCTAATTTTTCTACATCGTCTCAACACCGTTCACAAATTGGCGCCTTTTTCCAGAGCAAAAATGAGAACTCGTTCGTGACTTTCTCATTATTTGATTACAACTCCTTGAATATGCCAATATTTTGTGAAGTTCGAAATAAGCTGTAAAATGGTTATCAAGTAAAAAACTGATCAATATCAAGTCAAACGGTCGAATATGCTTTTGCTGCTTGCACTCAGGCCCGTTATTATTACTTTCCAATTTATATTAAGCATAATATTTAAAGTGTTGATCCTAATACTTTATCTTTCGAACGAATCTGTTTATGGGTCATAAGCTTTGGTGCTGCCTCAGATCGTTGGATTTTTTTTAACCATTTCGAGTGACTCCGCACCACGTAACCGCACAAAAATGCGCAAGTGGGTTTTTGCAGTTTTTATCTGTAACGACAATATAGTGTGATGCAAGAAAACCTTTTAAACTTCCTTGATTTGATTTGAGCAGCATTCATATCGAGAGCACAATAACTTTTCAAAACTTTTACTGCTCGCGTGCGCAACTCCAAAGCTGATAGAAAATATCTCGCTCGTATCCCACGTGTAAACGCACTACGAGCACGTGCCACGAGCATGTAACGAGTTCAGTAATCGCAACTGACTCACACGATGACTTATTAAAACAATTGGATCACGCCACGCGCCTTACGCGCAGTTCGTGCGCACTGCCCATGTGGATGACGCGAAATGTGCAACTGAGTGCAACGGCCCTCCGTCTGCTCCTCCGGTGCAGAATAGAAGCATAAATTACGTTTGTTTTTGGTTTGAAAACCTCGCTAGCTATACTAGATTCCATGTTAGTGATGCGTGGATGACTACACATTAGACTGATTCAAAATTAGAAATTTTTACTCCACGCTGCTTAAACGGTTTCAAGTTGGGTCCTGATTAGTCTCCTAAAATTTTAATTTATTTATTAGGAAACTGAGTTGGCACAAACCTTATGAAGTTTATATGGAAATTACTATGGGTAAACCAAATGTTTTGTTCATACCTATCTCAAAAATTCACAATCTCAAATCATGGCTACTATGTCACAGTGTTTCCCACGAAACATCTGCTTGATCATGTCATCAGGTTATTAATCTTTTAAACAATAAATAGCTATTTAATTTGATTTTTTACTGAAAACAAATATTCTGCAAAGTTGTAGCTGAAAAAATTTCCCATACGAATAGTTATAGAACTTTTTAACAGTGCAATATGAAAAACGGCTAGAAGATAATGAACGAAAAGTGTGGTTTACAATAGAAATTTCCATATAATGGATTCAAATGGATTGTGCCTAGTCAGTTTCTTACCAAATTAGTTTAAATATTGGGATGTTGATCAGGACCCGATTTGGAACCGATTGAACACTGTGATGCGAAAATTTCAAATTTTGCATCAGTCTACTGCACATAATGCTCTTCGTACGATTGTCTGCTGGGTCTGTTTCGATCAGACACTGTAGGCAGCAAACGAGGCCACAGGTTTTTCGGTCAACATTAGTTGATCATACGCTGCTTAGCAGAGTTAGGTGTAGATAAATGATGTTAATATAAATCATTTCTTTGAATCCATTTTTCAGAAGTCGTATACAACACAATCGATCGCATCGGTTACAAGCGCCATCCCCAGTACGTACCGGTTCACAAGAATCTCTTCGAGCTGCAGCCGGAGCTGAGGCCGGACATTAACAAAATTGAGAAAAGCATTCGGCTGATACGAAAACGACGTCGCCGGCGGGGAATTTCGATTGTTGAGCCACCAAATGGGAAAACTGAGGAGGACAGCACCGAGAGCCCCAGTGAGGAGTTGTTGTTCGACCAGAGCATCGAAGGTCGAGCTGAAGACGCAGACGACGAAGCAGACGACAATGACAACGATTCGGATGATTGGGAAACGATCACCGAGCGACGAGACGACATCACCATCCACAATGGGGAAGATTCGAACGAGTATCCGCACTTCCATGTCACTTACTGGATGTTTTATCCATATAGCCAGGTAACACTGTAGCGATTAACCTGCAAGATATTTATTATCAATCGAAACTTACTTGTTTTTAGGGTAAAGTCATCTGTACAGTCAACCTGGGACCGCTAGGCCCATGGCCGATTCCCCTCATATTCGGTATGTGCTTGGGAACAAAGAAGGAATTTGGCAGCCACATCGGTGATTGGGAACATATGAGTTTGTTCTTTAGAGGGAGGAAAGAACCTGACGTAAGTAAATTAATTTTATTAAAGGTAAGACAACGAAGTGGATCAGAATAATGCTTAAAATGCAATAGATAAAAGATGAAGCGTAAGTCGTAAAAATTGTGAAGGTAATTTGAAAAGCATTCTGTCAAATTGAAAAAAATTAAAAAAATTTAAAAGGGTATTAACATCGACCTCTTGAGGTGTATCGAGCGACGTACATGTCGCACGAGCAGACGCGGAACAAATTATGATGAGTGGTTGTCGGATTTTTTCGGCGTCGGGGGGGCAATTCCAAATTTACCCGTAACGCGGATGGATCAACTTTTCGTGGTGCGTTACTGGTGTAAGATCTACCGCATCGAATTCTGGCGCTTAGCTCTTCTTGTTGACGGCTATCAGCCTCGGTTTTGAGAGTCTCCGAGAAACTGAGATTGGAAACCAGAAAAGGTTTGGACCAGCGTTCTGATGCATGGTCACGTTTTTGTCACTAAGCATCAGCATCAAACATAAATTTTCGAGTCAATGACCATGACCAATTTCTGTTCGAAAATCGTTTGATCGATAATGTTGATAATATAGGATTGTTCAAATTTAATTTTCAACTATTACTTAGGCCGTTCGCAATGCTGAGTTTCAAAATTGTTTTAAACTACTCGTCAATACTATAATTTGAAACTGTCAAAAATAAAACTGCAACACGATCAGCGCAACGCACAGTTCTAAAACATGTTTGTAATCAGCAAGTTCCATAAACTTTACTGTTCTCTATGAAGTTCTCCGTTTTTTATTTGTGGAGCTCTTCGAAACATCATCAACACATCCAAAGAAATTTGAAACAGAGTTCCATTCGTGTTTCAAACTCGCTCAGAAATAAAACAGAATAGTCGAGCAGTTGCAAATCTGGTGCAAAATAGTGCTCGAATAATGAAACTGCAACTCAGCATTGCGAGAGGTGCGTTTCTGTTCTAGTTTCAAATTGAAACAGTCCTTATAAAATACAACAGAATTGCGAACATTTTGAAAATATTTATTTGTAAAAATGTTTGATGTTGATCTTGAAGATGAATTCCGGAAGCTGTTTAAATTAGAAGCAGATATGTGAAGATTTTTGCTACAGATATGAAGATTCTGACTTGATGGTTTAGGCTCTTAGGCTGTTTATTATGAACAAGGGGTTGGTCACTCCGCACAGTGCGTCAAAATCAAATTTGGGCACACCTGGGCACACTCATTGGCACTGTTTGGATCCCATTGTTGGATTTTTTTTTCGTATTTCAAGTTTCTGGCAACACTGCTATATCTCTGCGCCTGCGCAGTGCGCATGTGCAAACTTTGGATTCAATCATAGTTGTTGACACAATTCAATTTTTGAAAACCGCAACAACCGTGAATTTTCGCCTAGTCCTGCCATAGTTTCCTCAACAGACTGTAAGCTCAGCGCACATCCTAACTAATTCTCTGCTTGACGGTCAAGCAGTTCAGTTCGGTTTTTGCTTGCTCTCTTGAGTTATTCGCATAGTTCGTTGCGATAGTGTTTGCGCTTTTCTTTCGCGCTGTTTAGTGAATCATCGTTCGACCTAAGCATGGGAAAACCACGGCGTGACGTGGCTGCCTTTCCGACTGGAAAACGAACCAGATCAGACACCGCCGACGTTCAGTTGGCATCGAAGAAGCTGCCGGTGAACAACCGCTACGCCGTTCTGGAAAATGGCCATGAACCGCAGGTGGAAAAGAAAGAGAAACTTCCGCCTTTCGTCATGAAGGGGTTCCCGCCCGGATTGATGGAGAAAATTGACTATTATATCGGTAAAGGTCTCAAATGTACCAACCGCCTTTGCACTGAAGGCTTCAAGCTGATGGTTCCAGCTATGAAACACTACAAGGCCGTTGACACGCTGCGGAAGAAAGAAAACGTGGAGTACTTCCCCCACAATATTGAGGCGAAAAAGCCGTTCAAGGTGGTCCTGCATGGACTTCCGGACATGAAAACCGACTCACTGTCTGATGTATTGAAGGTGAACGGACACAAGCCAGTTCATGTTTTCAAGATGAATCGATAAGACAACACTCGCAAGTATCGAGACCAGCTGTATCTGGTCCACCTTGTAAAAAAAATTCAACGTACCTCAAGGATCTGTAGAATATTAGTGCCCTGTTCCACACCGTCGTGTTGAAATGGGATCAGTACAAGCCTGTCCACCGTGACGTAACCCAATGCTCCAACTGCCTCCTGCTCGAGCATGGCACGAAAAATTGCCATATGGCTTACCGTTGCAACGATTGTGGCAAGAAGCACGCGCTCGATGCCTGTGAGATTATGGAGAACACCGACCCAACATACGGCAATTTTGAGGCTGCTCATCGGTTAACTAGCAAGTCATGCCCAAACCAGGCCGCAAAAGGGTACCGGAGAACCATGGGCAGAACTTTCCTGCCATCCACGAACGGCGTCAAATTCCGGTGCTTCCACCGCTGCTGCCGCTGCTGCATCAGTCTCGTCAACTGGTGGGTTCTCCAATCCTTCGGCATACACGAATCGTCAAACGTATGCGTCCCCACCGGGACTATTCAGGCGTCAGGATGATGCACCATCGTCGAACGAAAACACAGATGCTCTGTTCACAGCGGAGCAACTGATCCCCGTATTCACCCAGCTTTCCACACGTTTGCGCAGTTGCAAAACCCGTTACGACCAGATTTACACTCTGGGCCTTTTCGTCATCCAGTATGGCCTCTGAAGGGTTGAAGCTAGTCAACTGGAACGCTTGCTAGCTCACGAGTAAGAACATCGAGTTCGTTAGGTTTCTCAATGAACGAAACATCGACATTGCTGTTATAACTGAAACCCACATGAAGCCCGAAATTAACGTCTACTTTCCAGATTTTCGGCTCGTGAGGCTATTTCTGGGGGAGGAGGAATGACCATCGCCCTAAGTAGAAACATCTGCTGTCGGCGGCTGCCGAGCTTTCAGCTGAAGACCATCGAAGTTTCTACTCCTGTCGGCCCTATCACCATAGAGGTAACTCTAAGACCAGAAGGTCCCGAAGAAACGAGCTCAACTTTTTGGCTCAGCTCTGGTACTATTTTCGGTCCCAAGCTAATCGATTCACCCCTAGAAACATAGGAAAATCCACTAACCCCTCATATTATCTGTCAAACTTTCATAGCGAATCAAAACAAACATAGTGTAGTACTGGAATTTATACTAGAATGGGATACGTTAGTCGATTTGCTTGGGACCAATAGGCTGGTCAAGTAGTGAGTCAATTTAAAATCGTTAGTTTCGTATTGATTGTTGCTATCACCATCGTTGAGGCTTACTGCCCCAAACAAATCTACATCAGGGACGGATTGGTAGCAGACCTGCGACGAGATATTGTCAACCTAACACGACGGTTGGAAAATTTCAGCATCGCTGGTGACCTGAACGCCAAACATCAAACTTGCTGCAACAGTCGGCGCAATCAAAACGGCACCATCCTGAACAACGACCTGCAGGAAGCATCTTGAGTCCCGACACTCCCACCTGGTCCGGTGCTCTCGCCATCATCAGCATCTACATGAGCAACATGGTCCACATCTCGCAACCGGTTGCCTATCAAGAGGACAGCTTATCATATTTCCACATTCCCAATCACCAAGACTTAGTGCTGGAATGGGCCAAAGAGGTTGTGTACCTCGGACTAATACTAGACAGCAAGCTTCTTTTCAGGGAGCACATTGACAAAACTAACACCAAGTGCAACATCTTGATAAGATCACTGTATATCCGCTTATCGATAGGAAGTCCACCTTATCTTTGAAAAATAAGCTTGCTGTCTATAGACAACTAATTACTTACTTACTTAAGGGCCATGTGCACCACCAGCGGTGCAAAGGGCCAACGTGAAAGACTTCCATCCTGGGCGGCTGCTCGCTTTTGCCTTGACTGGGCCCAGGTCAGATTCCTATCGACTTGCTTAATTTCCTTATTGAGGTTCCGCCGCCATGAGCCCCTGGGTCTGCCTCTGCTGCGATGTCCTGCCTGATTTGCCTCTCGAATTTCTGTTGCTATCGGCTTCTGATGACATCGACAATGGAGCTCGGCATTCGAGATCCAGTTGTGAGGCCACCAGGCACGAATTATATACCACAGGCATCGGTTGATGAAGACCTGCAACTTTTGAGTGTTCTCCGCTGATACACACCACGTCTCGCTGGCGTATAACAACACAGATTTCACGTTCGAGTTGAAAATTTGGATTTTGGTGCGTTGACTTATCTGGTTGGATCTCCATACGTTTCGTAAACTCGCAAAGGCAGCCCTAGCCTTCTCGATTCGTGCACCTGTGTCCCTCTTGGTCCCGCCGTCCGACGCTATTTTGCTGCCAAAATATTGGAAATTTTCGACCTTCTCCACTGCTTGCACCGCTACCGTAAAGTTGGAAGGGTTGCCCGTGTTGATATCCAACGATTTGGTCTTGTTGACGTTGATGGTGAGATCCGCCGCAGAGGAGCGTTCGGCTAGGTCATTGAGCTTAATCTGCATATCAGAGCGCCGTTGTGCTAGTAGAGCAACATCATCAGCCAAATAGAAGTCGTTGAGATGCTCCATGGTGATAGGCTGTTAAAGCAGCCCACGGTTCGGTACACGGTCAATTGCACCTACCATGATCTCGTCGATTACGATGAGAAACAGTAGCGGTGATAGTATACATCCTTGTCTCACACCAGCGACTACCCGTATAGGGTCGGACAAGGCTTCGTTATGCAGAACTCTGCACGTGAAAGCCTCATACTGCGCTTCGCTGAGGTTGACGATTTTATCCGGGACTCCCTTGCGTCTCAGGGCGCCCCACAGATTCTCGTGATTGAGACGGTCGAAAGCTTTTTCGTAGTCAATGAATACTTGGAATTGATTGACCTGCTCCAGGATGATGCGGAGCGTGAAAATATGGTCCACACAAGATCTTCCGGCACGGAATCCTGCCTGCTGCCGTCGGAGAGTCGCGTCGATCTTCTCCTGTATCCGATTCAGGAT